GTGGAGGAGAGTATCACATCATAATACTATATAAGGTTACTGAGGGAAAAGGAGAAAAAAAAGTCTTAGTTTCTTGTGTCATGCATGAAGAATTTAATAATTTATAAAAATCTTGTAAACAAACATTTCCAAATGTATGCTTTATAAAATATATAGATGAGTCAACTTGTCAGATTTTTTTTTTCTTTTGTAGTGTAACTATCTGGTATATTAACTAGTATTTTGACAATAACAGAAACAAAAAGCAGTTTCCCTAAATAACTTTCAGAAGCATTTCATCTCAGGGTCAGGGGAGAATTTACTTCCTGAAGGGCCTATTTTTCTTTTTACCTTAACAGAGGAGATAGTGCTATTAAGAGGCCTTGAAGGAAAATTTATGTACTCCTTGAACAACTCTGAATTAGGCAGGTGGTAGAAAAAAGTAGAAGAAAGTATCAGAGAATAACTGTAAATAATGCTGAATTTAAAAATTTCATCCTTGGGAGTTGGGGGATGGGCATAATGGCTGAAGGTGGCCAAAAGGCACAAACTTCCAGTTACAAAATAAGTGGGGGTAAGGAGAGGGTGATTGGGTCATGGACATTGGGGAGGGTATGTGCTATGGTGAGTGCTGTGAAATGTGTAAGCCTGACAATTCACAGACCCGTACACCTGGGGCAAATATTACATTATATGTTAATAAAAATAATTAAAAAAAAGTCCTGGGGATGTCAGGTACAGCATGGTGACTAAAGTTAATAATACTGTATTGCGTATTTGAAATTGCTAAGGGAGTAGATCTGAAAAGTTCTGATCACAAGCAAAAACATTCCTTGACCAGTGTGGTCAATACTGAATTGTTATGTTGTGCACTTGAAGCTAATATGATGTATGTCAGTTATACCTCAATAACAAATGGCATCGTAACTGTAAATCGTAAGAATTTGCCAGTTTTGAAACTTTAGATGTATCAAGACATAGAAGTAAAGCCAAAGTGTTTTCTTTAAAATAAAATTCCAGGGGCCTGGCTGGCCCAGTTGGTTGAGTGTCTGACTCTTGATTTTGGCTAAGGTCATGATCTCAGCTGGGGAGTCTGTCTCTCCCTCTCACTCTGCCCATCCTCTCTCTCTGCCAAATAAATAAATATATCTTTGAAAAAATAATAAAATAAAATTCCCGAATTGGTACTAACCACTGGGTTTATTTTTGAAAAATCATTTTTGTGTTTGTGTTAAGTATAAATACTTGTAGAGAAATTGGAAGTTAAAGGAAAATATGAAAAAATCAGAAAGAATTAAATGGTCAGGCTACTACTGTTCATATTATATTATAGCATTCCTGCTTCCTGGGTGTGGCTATTTAAGTTTAAACTAGTTAATGTTTGTAATAAAAATTTAGTTCCTCAGTTACACTAACTGTACTTTAATAGCTGTATGGAGCTAATGGCCACCATACTGGACAGTGGATATTGAACATTCGAACATTTCCATCAAGATAGAAAGTTCTTTGGGAGTCACTGCTCTAGAGAGTGGAAGAGGATCCAGCTAAGTCATCTCTGAGGCTAGTCAGTGTGTAGAATGGTGATCCAGGAAAAATGCACAATTTTTCTTGGCTAGTTTGCTGCTGGATATGTTACACAGTTTGCTGGTTCCTTTAGCATTAAAAAAAAATAGGGGCACCTGGGTGGCTCAGTGGTTAAGGCCTCTGCCTTCGGCTCAGGTCATGATCTCAGGGTCGTGGGATCGAGCCCCACATCGGGCTCTCTGCTCAGTGAGGGGCCTGCTTCCTTTCCTCTCTCTCTGCCTGCCTCTCTGCCTGCTTGCGATCTCTGTCAGATAGATAAATAAAATTTAAAAATAAAATAAAATGAAATAGACATTAAAATTCTGTTCCCTTCTGGTATTCCTGGTCTTTCACCAGATGTAGTGGAAAAGCCAGCCTCTCTGGGCCCACATATCCCTGGGCTTCTGTCGCCTACATCCAGATCATGATCACCTGATTCCTATGACTTGCTAACCAAGCAGATGTCCTGGCTGAAGAACAGAATAGGTGCTCATAAATGCAGTGGATTGCTACTATTTTTAAGGGCCAAGTAAGGTAAGGTTCTGCTCGTAGATGAGACACTAGCTCTTTTGAAATGACCCAGTGATGGAGAAGGAAGGGAGGTCCTATGACGCGTGGGAGGCAGACAAACACAGGTGAATGTACCCTCTCTCTACCTTCTTATCTGGGTTTTCACTTTATTTGGCTCAGCTAGCAATTCTTCCCACCCTCAAATCCTGGGAACGCACTACTAATGCATTTTATCTTACAATTATTCTAGGTCTTTCTTACACATACAGAGTCTTGGTTGATTGCTGCCTACCCCTCAAGTCTGAAGATAATGGCGTTTTTGTTGAACTAGGAAAGGATCAAGGGAGAAGGAATTGGAGTTTCTTTATCTTCCTGCCTTTTCTTTCTCACAAAGGGGTGGGGGGGAGATTTTTCTGCACTAGGAGGGGAATGATTTTCAGAGCTCTGAGCTCCCATGCTTCTCAGTACCCTCAGAGGGGCCTGCCCTGCACAATGTGTGTGTGAGTGTGTGTGTGTGTGTGTGTGTGTGTGTGTATACAGGGACAGACTAATGTGAAACAGCCTGGATGCAGACATAGCAATAGGGTCTCTCACAAAGAAGGTTTCAAACTCAGAAAGTGACTGACTCTGTGACTCGATAGCTGCTCCAGTTATGAGTGAGATGGTTTTGGTTGGCCTGCCCTGTAGAAATGTTGAGATGCTGCTCTGTTTGAACAATCAAAACTCAAATAAAATATCTTACACTCATGCAGCCTCCACAGTTTGCCATATCTGTTCTCAAGCATCATGTCATCTGATGATAAACTTATGGGCTGGGACCAGACATTTGCAGAAGAGAAAACCTAGGCCCAGAGAGGTGAGGTGACTTGCTCGAGGTCACACAGTAGTGGGTGGTGTGGCTGAGTTTTGAATCCCAAGGGGCTTTGCTGAGGATGTTGCTTTCCTTCTGACTCATATTTTGGGATCGTAAAATAAAACACACCTAAGTCGGATAATGGGTGACACAAATATGAGAGTTTAAAAGATAATGTTTGTTGAGTGCCCATAATAGGAGGTTGAGAAGGGGGCTGCTTAGTTGGGTGGTCTGGGCCCTGCCCTCAGGGATCTTTACTTGAAACATTTGAAGCAGTACATTTACTAGCAATAAATACATATCATCCCAGAACAAATTGGGTGCTTTAGTGCATATGGATGCTGAGAAAATGACAGAATCCTTTATAGAAGGCGTCCTGAAAGAAAGGGATTTTGAATCAGACCCTGAAGGATATGCACAGACTAATGGGAGGGCATTCTAGCCGGATACAGAGGCATGGTTGGGTTCAGTTTTAAGAAAGAAGAAAAGAGCACTTGTTTATTATTTTTTGAAAATTTGCCCTGCAGAAGACCTTGCGTACAGCTGGGTTTAGAGTGGTGTACAAAAGAGACATGGCCCCCCACTTCATATAACTTAGACTTAGGGGGGAAAGACCAATCATTGATTGTTGGTAATAAAATAATTACGTAAGTATTTCAGATTAAGATTTGCTATAAACGAGAAAGGTTTCTCGTTATGAATTCTATGAATGCATACGGTACAGTGACATAAATTCCACTGACATTTGAGCTGGTACGTGAGGGAGTGGAAGTTAACTAGAAAAAGTGGTTTTGGTATAGGGAACAAAAGGAGGAGTGCTCAGAGAGAGGAGTGAAGCATGTGGAAAGGCCCTGGGAGGATCAGAGGGGCTGGAAAAGGGCCTCGGTGCTGGTGTTGAGAGAGCAAAATGGTGAGTGGTGAGTGGCAGGAGGTGAGGCTGGGGAGGAGGCACAAGCTTGATCAGATTTTGGTCTTTATTTTAATAACTGTGGGAAACCTCTGAAGGATTTTAAGCATAGTGACAAGACTGACATGGTCAAATTTTCTTTTAAAAAGATCACTTTGGCTGCTGTGTGCCAATGTTTTGGAGGAGCAATAATAGAGGTTATGCAGTAACCCCTTAAGAGACTATTATGGGGATCCAGGCTAGACATGGTGGGCTGGTGCAGAGTGGTGGTAGCAGAGATGGGGAGAAGTGGTGAGTTTCCCAAAGGGATTTAGAAGATCAAGTCTACAGGTGGAATTTGGTGATATGCTAGGTAATAGAGAAGCAGATGATAAGGATAGTTTTTGAGTTTCGGATGTTTGGGAAGAAGAAGAAATCAGCTTTGGGTATCAGGAAGGCATTTGGGTCTCTGGGTCTGGAGCTCAAGGAAAGAATGGGTTGGGATTGACTGTGGAGGTCCCGGGCACATAAGTGACCAATGGGCATGGATGAGCTTTCCCAGAGAGAAAGGAGCATGAAATGAGGAGAGAGGAATAAAGCAGTGAGGAAGCTTGTTGGCCAGGTTGAAGAGAACAGGCCAGCCCAGCAGCACTGGAGAGGTTGGAGGAGAACCAAGAGATCCCTGAGCATCATGTCGTTGAGGTGGAGTAAAAATATATAAAATAGGGGGCGTATCTGTCACTTTCTCTCTAGACCCATTTCCTCATCACAACCCCAAAATCCATTAGGTGCAAGCCACACAACTCTAGATCCAAGACACTTGCATTGGGCAATGTTACAAGTGTAGTTATTTATTTTTCCATTACTGTGACAGATTGCAGTCTGTTTGTGTTTTCTGCGGGGAACAATAACCTCCTTTCCTTTCTCTTACGTCGTTGCGCTTTTGGCTGTCCCCGACTGCAGCTTGTTGCAAATCTGAGCTTGTTTAATCCCATGGAGTACTAAACACTATCTGGTCTCGGTGGCTGTGTTAATTCTACTGCGGGCGCCCAACTTCATGTGCCAGCTGGGATCCCTTAATGAGCGAGCTGCACACAGTTCAATGTGAAAACTATTTTCTCTGATGCAATGTGTTTGAAGAACTCACTCCTGGAATGTTCTACGTCACAACTGCTTCCAGGCCGTCCCTGGCATTCTCTCTCTTTGCAGGATGGCTGTCGCTCCTCCGAGTTACTGTTTTGTGGCCTTCCCACCACGTGCTAAGGACGGGCTGGTGGTGTTTGGGAAAAATTCAGCTCGGCCCAGGGATGAAGTACAGGAGGTTATGTATTTCTCGGCTGCTGATCATGAACCCGGGAGCAAGGTTGAGGTAAGTCCCGTGTTACAGTCTCTCATTGGCGCTCATTCCCTTCCTCTGGCTTGGCTCAGCGCACCTTTCCTTAACTGGGCTCACTGGTCAGAACTGCCATGTCAGTCTGTTGATTCCTGATCCCACGCAAGTTTGTTCGTGTCCTTAAAAACAGGATCACATGGGGACTAATACTACATTCGTGGCTCTAGCCCTTCTTTTACAAGTAAGTAAAATATTTACATGGTTCCAAAGTCAAAAGTATAAAATAAGGTGTATTCATAGAAGTCTGGTATCTTTCTTTGTCTCATTTACTCTACTTACTTTTTTCCTTTTTCTTGAAAGTTTTTTTGGTTTTTCCTTCCATTTTAAAAATTACCTGTGTATGTAAGAAACTACACACACGCACATACACACACATGCCCCTTTGTCCCATATGTTTTTCTTTCTTGGATGAATGGTAGCGTGCCGTGTACGCTTTTCTCCACTTTTCTTTTTTCACCTTAAAAAACATATCTTAGAGATCACCCCATGTGATAAATAGAGGTCCTGTTCCTCATTCCTCACTTAGAGCTGAACAGAGCATTCCATTCTATGGGTATCATGGTTTAGTCCCAGGTTGCTGGACATCTGGGTGGTTTTTCCAGTCTTTTGTTATTGCAGATATGTTGTTGTATTTTGGAGGGGCTGATAGCCTGGTGTATCGGTCACAATATCTGGTCTTGGTTTATGTATTGTATCATGGTAGAAGATTATCCATCAGTTCCTATTTTGAGTGCTTAAAAATCTGTCTTTGTCGGTCCTTTACTGGGATAGGTACCTAAAGTGGGATTGTTGGGTCACAGAGTAAGTAAGTGTGTAATTTTTTTGGACTTAATCTGGTTTGCTCACCCAGGTGGTGTCCTTCTGCATTTCTGCTAGGGATGGAACAATGCCTGTTTCTCCGTATTCCCGGAGTGTACCGTCAAACTTTCACCATGCCTGATGTCAATTTTAAAGTCTGCTACTTTACTAAATTCTTTCATTGGTTGTGTCAGCTTTTATCATTGATTCTCTTGGGTTTTCCAGGTTTATTGTTATCAATGCCTATAAGCAGAGGAAGTCTGACTGTACTTACATGTCTGGTTTCTTATCTGATTGCCTGATAGCTTGGATTCAGCGTTAATATTTAGTGGCAATAGTGGTTTTCTTTGTCTTGCTCCTGGCCTGAGTGGGGCAGCCTCTAGTGATTCTCTAGTCACTCAGACATTGGCTTTAGGACTGAGCTTTACATAGTTTTATTGTGTTAACAAGTATACATCAATTTTTATTTTTACTGGTTAAAAAAACCCTCAAGGATAGGTGTTAAATTTTGTTGAACGCCCCGCCTCCCCACCAGTGATATGGAGATAATCACTGGATTTTTTTTCTTTCAGTTTATATGATAAATTGAACTATCTTTGCATTCATAGAATAAACTTCTTGGTTATGGCGTATTCATTTGTGTGTGTGTGTGTTTCAATGGTTGTTGTTTGTTAAAGGATGAAGAATGTAGAGAAAAAAACTGGGGGCAGGTAAATTAACGAGCTCTTTCTACTGACATAAACCTCTACTCATTGGCGTTCTATGCGTTCAAGATAAACTGATTTTTTTCTGGTAATTGTGCTAGGTTTTAAAAGGGTATTCATCAATGTGTGTTTTATTTTCCTATCTGAATCTTTTTAACTGTTTCAAACCTTTAAAGGCAACTAAGCAGCACCAGAGAGCAACAGAACTCTGTAAGGAGTGGCTGTGTTAGGTGGATGGAGCAGAGGCGGGGACGCGGCTGGCAGCACGGAGCATGACTTGGGGTGTGGATTGTGTGCGGTTGGGGCAGTGACAGCCTGTGTCTCACAGAACTTTCTCAGAACCGCTCTCCTCTTGTGCTGTGCCACTAACAGGTCCAAGCCCCTAAACTTCCGGACTTTTCTTTCGTAAAGGCAGAGAAGAGTGCTAGGTTTTCTGGTGATTGTGCTAGGTTTTATTTTATTTATTAAATGTTGCAATGCCTAAATATATTTTTTAAAGATTTTATTTATTTATTTATTTGAGAGAGAGAGAGAGAGCACAAGCAGGGGGAGCGGCAGGCAGAGGGAGAGGGAGAAGCAGACTCCCCACTGAGCAGAGAACCTGATGCAGGGCTTGATCCCAGGATCCTGGGATCATGACCTGAGTCAAAGGCAGAGGCTTTAACCCACTGAGCCACGCACATGCCCAATCACACTAGTTTTTAAATGGGTTTTCATTCATTCATGTTTCCATGTCCATGTTGCTTGAATTTGAATGTTTCTCCCTTCCTGGAGCCGAGTGCACTGGGCATAGATGAAGTTTGCAGGTCTGAGTTATTTTGACTTCCCCTGTCTGTCTTCCCTCAATGTTCCTTTTTCTCAAAGAGTCATACCCACTGAAACAACACTTTGATTTTCCCGTGGGCAGATTTAATTTCCCAAAGATAGCTGCACCAAATCCCATCCTACATGCACTTGGTACAGTATGATGAACATGCCTCGGTGGGGAGGTGAGGGTCATGAACCTTGGTGAGGGTCATGAACTTTGGTGAGGGCTTACGTTTGCTCTGACCAGCATAGCCTGGTGGAAGTGATGCCATGTGACCTCCAGGGCTGAGCCATAGAAGAATTGGGCATGGAGTCTCTCAATCTTGGGGTCTGGCCCTAAGCATGAAGGAGCTACGGTGAAGGGAGCCCAAACCAGCCCATGTAGGAAGAACACAGGGAGGGGCGCACATGGAGAGGAACCGAAGTCCCTCAGCCAACAGCCAGTGCCAACCCACAGCCAACCGCCAGATGTTTGAGTGAATGGCCCTTCAGACGATTCCAGGCCTTGGACACTGTGGAGTGGAGACACGCCGTCCCTGTGGCGCCCTGTCCAAACTCCTGCCCCTTTGAATTCATGAGATAATAAATGGTGTTTTGCACCACTAAATCTTGGGGTCACTTGTTAGTAGCCATAGTAACCACAGGATCACACAAAAGCCATTTATAAATATGTCTGAAATAGATATTTTAGAAAAATGTGTTTAATTTTGGGAGGGATAGGCTAAAAAACCCAGTATTTTCCTTTCATGGGTACAATCAGGCTAGAAAGTAGACTAGATTGCTTTCCCTTGTTAACACGTGGTGTGTAATCACTCACCTACGCTGGAAGTTCAGTGACGTCCCTTTGCATAAACAAGTGCAGTTTGATCCATACCAGAATTTGTTTCCAAGACAACCTGACCTCCTTTCGGAGCTGCCAACCTGTGTTTGGAGCTGCCTCTGTACATTTCCACATCTGTATTCTGCAGGTAATAAAATAACATGACAGGTCAGAAACCAAATTCATTTTCCCCATCTCGTTCCTCTTCCTCTGTCAGCACCATAGTTTAGAGACCAGAGGGAAACTCTGACCCTCATTTTCCCATGCATCCCTAGATGCTTGGGGACGGCTGCCACCAAGTCCTATTGCTTCCGGTCCTGTGTTCACATCTCCTCCCTAGGATCCCTGATCATTCAGACCCACCCCCATCTCCCTTCCGCTCCGCTGTCATCTGCTTATTGGTCCCTGGCTCTCCTTTTCAGAGATCCTTCAGCCTGTGGGGTCACCAGGATTTTCAGAGCACAACTCTGTCACTGCCTTGTTTAAAAACGGTTGTGTTTATAGGATCAGAGTCTTGGCTGATTTGTATGCCATTCAGAACTCTTCCTGGCTGGCACTGGGCTCCCTTTCCCTTTCTCTTCTTTAAAATTGATAGGCTTCACTTTTTTTTTTTTAAGCGCAGTTTTATGTTTACAGAAAAATGAACAGAAAGTACAGAGAGTTCCCATATAACTCTGGGAAAGCTGGGGCCTCCCTCAGCTTTCCCTGTTATTAACATGTTACGTTAGTGTGTTACATTTGTTATAATCCATGAGCCAACATTGAGACATTTATTATTAACTAAAGCCCATCATTTACATTGTGTTTCGCTTTTGGTGTTGTGTATTTTAATGGGTTTTGTCAGATGTATGTAATGACACCTATCCACCATTATAGCATTATACACAGTATTTCCTTTGCTCTAAAAATCCTCTGTGCTCCTCCTCTTCATTTATCTCTTCCTGACCCCTGGCAACCACTCATCTTTGCACTGTCTCTAGAGTTTTTTGCCTTTTCCAGAATGTCATGTAGTTGGAATCCTGGTGTGTAGCCTTTTCCGACTGGATTCTTTCACTTAGTAGTTATTTTTTCAGAGTTCGTCCAGGCCTTTTCTGGGTTGGTCGTGCATTTCTTTTTAGCGCTGAAAAATATCCCATGGTCTGGATGAACCATGGTCTAATTTTCTTTTAATCTATTAAAGGACATCTTGATTGCTTCCAAGATTTGGCAATTATGAACAAAGTTGTTACAAATATTTGTGTGCAGGTTTTGGGTTTTTTTTAACTTTTTTTGTTTTTTTTGTTTGTTGTTTTGTCTTGTTTTGTTTTTTTAGCCCTTCTTCCCCCCCCACCCCCCCGTATGCAAGTCTTTGTATGGACATAGTTTTTAACTCATTTGGAATATTTTTTAAAAAGTAAAGTTACTTTTTAATGTAATTTAATGTAATTTTGAATTAGGTAACATGTTCATATGGTTCAAAGATTAAGTGATATTAAAAAGGTTAACGTGAGCAGTCTTATTACCCCTTATTACCAGTCACTCTGATTCCCATCCCATATAACCCTTCTTATTAATTTCTTACACATCCTTTCAGTGTCTTATGCAAATGCAAGCAAATATGAATATTTAGCCTTATTTTCTTACTTTTTTCATGAAGGTAGCACATAATATATATTATTCTGAAACTGATTTTTAAAAAAAAATTTATTAACATATAATGTATTATTTGTTTTAGGGGTATGGGTCTGTGATTCATTAGTCATGCACAATTCACAGTGCTCACCATAGCACATACCCTCCCCAATGTTCATCGCCCAGCCACCCCATCCCTCCTACCCGACACCCCAGCAACCTTCAGTTTGTTTCCT